AAAAAAAAAGAAAGAAAGAAGAAAGAAAGAAAGCACCCCCATCTCCCAGGAGGATTAGCCACACTACAATCTCTTCTCCTCCATTCTCCTCTCAGATCTTGGGCACGTCCACACACACACACTCCTGGCATGTTTTTCAAGCTGCCATGTTGGGACTCCAACCATGTGCTCAGCCATGGTGAAATTTGGTTGGCTCAACCACCGTGCCCTCTGCTGACCCAGCATATGATTTTTTTTTTCTACTTTCTTCTTTACCATATTTTCTTTAATGAATATTTACTTTTATAATGAAAAATTAATAAATGTATGTCATTTTTTAAATAAAAGAGTATCTTTTAGCAATGTTGACTTTTAAAAGTATAACTGGAAAGTTTCCAGATCTCATATCAAGATGTCAAGATGTATGGATTGGGACCAGTAGATAGTATAACATCACTGGACTCCCGCATAGCTGACCACAGTTCGAGTCCTGGACCTGGTGGCTTGAAAATCATGCCAGGTGCATGTGCATGCATGCCCAAGATCCCGGGAGGAGAATATAGGGCAAAAGATTGCGGTGTGACCATTCTCCCTAGAGGGTGATTTCTCAATTTCTTTCTCACTGTCTCTGTCTCTCTCTCTCTCAGATGAGCCCATGTGCCCTAAGGCAAAATGCTCTACAAAAAATAAAAAAAGGACATATGGATTAAAATTTACATATTTTTAAAAACATTTTTACAGAGATTTTTGCTATAGGGCACATGCACTCACTGAAGAGACAGAGAGATAGAGAGACAGAAAGTGAGAAATACCCCCCTGGGGGGATAGCTACATCACAATCCCTTTTCCATTCTCCTCTCAGTGTTTTGGATATGCACACACACATGCCCAGGGTGAATTTTAAGCCACTGGGTCTAGGACTCAAACTGCAGTCTATTACATGGGAGTTCAGTGACATAACAATTACACCTCTGTTGGTCCCACATGTAAAATTTTTTTCTGTTTAGTTTTTTCAAATTACATCATAAGATACTTATTCCAATTACAGCCAATCTTCAATTTATTTTTTTAATGGAGTGTTTAATATGTTCTACATCCTGTAAACATATGCGTATTCAGCCCTGTGATGAACAGTAATTGGTACCCAGTTTTTCAAAATTATCTTAGGGTGTTTGCAAGCAGACTTGGGTGTGGCCTGCTGGGACAGGGTGTGAGACAGTGCAACTCTGACAGCAGCAGGGAGCAGAGCCTGGGAGAGCAACGGGGCGCTCTGGCACATAGGGGCAACTCAGTGAATCAGAGGTCCCAGTGTCCCAACTCGTAAAATGCAGGAGCCAGCCTCTGGATTGGGGTACCCGCACTGAGCACGCATTCCCAGGCAACAGCAGCAGAGGGGAAACTGGATTGCCTCCCCATAGTTCTGCGGGGGACTCTGAGGACTGAGGCCCAAGGTGAGGGCTAGGCTAGCAGAGAGCACGACAGGATGCCGAGTTCCCAGGCACTGGTCCGGCTGAGTTTCTCGAGGTCGAAAGAAACTCATCCTATTGGAACCATGTCAAGAACTTCTGCCTAGAAGTGCAAGGGCTGGCTGAGTGTTTGAGTGGGTACGGGTGGGCTGAGAATTAAGCAGGGCATGGCAGGAATGTCCATCTTAGCAATGACGGCAGGAACACTCCCTGCTGTCCCTAGAACCCTCCAAAGTAGGCAGGACACTCCCATTTAAAGAAGGAAAGGAAGCTCCTATTCCCAGGGCCACTGGTGGGGCTGGATTTTGATTCCCTAACACCAAGGTACTTTCTAGATCCTGGGAGTTGCTGTGACTTCCTTCAGCACAGCGCCACCCCCTCCCATGCCTCTTCTCATTCCTGCCAATGGGTCTCACACCTTACCCCTAAGTCCATGGTTTATTCCAGGGGCCTATCAGAGACCTGGATGGGGGTACCTCAGCTCCGGAACATGGTGTGCTGAAAGGCATCTTCCTGGGGAAGCCCAGCTGGCTGCTCTCTGGACTACTCAGAGACCTCAAAGAATTTAGGAAGCAGGGGACCAGCAGTTAGTGTAATAGCTATATCACTGGACTCCCATGTAGCCAACCGTGGTTTGAGTCCCGGACCTGGACCCGGTGACTTAAACTCATGCCAGGTGCGTGTGCATGCGTGCCCAAAATCCTGAGAGGAGAATGGAGAAGTTATTGAGGTGTGACCATCCTACTGGGGGGTGATTTCTTGCTTTCTGTCTCTCTGTCTCTCTCTTTCTGGCCAGTGCATGAGCCCTATAGCAAAAACCTCTCCAAAAGAAAAAAAAAAAAGAACTTAGGAAGCAGGAGATGGCATTCAATTTCCAGTGACTCACAGAGTGGAGGGTCCCACACTGGATGCTCTGGGTCAGCTCCTTCTCATTTCACTGACTGTCCCCATCCTTTGGGGACCTCTAATTCCTAAAAGCAATTTACGAACCCCTTCTGCTAAATCCATATCCGAGCTACAACACTAGCTATGGGCCCGAGTCCTGCTCCGTGATGGAGGGAAGCGTGCCTCTATCCCTCATTCATGCCTGGACCCTGAAGATTTGCACACTGGCCTCTAAACCAGCGGTTCTCAAAGCAAGTTCCCAGGACCAGCAGCACCGGCACAACCTGAGAACTCCTTAGAAGTGCAGACTCTCAGACATTCCCCTGACCTACTGAATCAGAGTGGGGCCAGCAATTTGTCTTAACCAGCCCTCCAGGTGAATCTGCTCTAAGCCTGTCTTCTTGTTTGCAAAACGGACATTATCAATGTTCCCAATCCAAGGGTGGCTTTGAGGATTACCTGAGCTGTGTACACGCCTGCAGGCAAGGTAAAGGTCGGTGAGGACGTGGCTGTAACCGTTTCCTCACCGTCACATCTTCATGAGTCACAGTCACTGCTTTGAGAGCACAAGCTGTTTCACAAGGATGGAGGAGTCTTCTGGCACCTACCGTCCCTCGTCCTTTCTTCCCCACAGCTAGGCTGGATCTCAGAAGCCTCGGTGCTTCACTCCAGCTGCTCTGGCCTTGCCCCAAGTCACTCCTGTGTGTCCTGGCTTAAACCCTTCTGTCCCAAGCCAGCATTCCCTCCCTCGGCCCACAAGCTGTTTCCATTGTGAAGGAACATGACTTCTTTCCTCTGGTTTTTAGGTTCCCCTCCCAGGCCCAGCCACTCTTCCCAGTTAATCAGAACAATAGCTCCAGAACCTGGTCACAGACTAGCCTGCCCTGGCCCCTCTTCCAGGGCTCAGGCCCTCTGCCCTAGCCCCCTCATCCCCAGTACCCAACTTCCCATTACCTCCCTTTCCTGCATCCTCTACCAGAAGATCAGGCGACTCCCCTTCGAGAATCTGTGTCTAGAACCCAGACAGCCCCGGGGTGGGGGCAGGGGTTGGGTGGGGGAGGTAGAGAATGGTCTCCTTGATGCATAGCCTGTAGCCCCAAGCATCCCTCTAGACTGCTGATTTAACTCATTCTCCCTCACCTGGGCTTCATTTCATCTCTATTTCCGGGTGAACATGTTCTATCGTTTTCTTTTTTTGAGACCTTGGGGTGGATTTGCCTCCATCCTCCATCGAACAGGCTCCATGGGCAATGCAAGTACCGCTCAGTCTGTCAACAAACGTTACGGATATTGGAGTAATGCTAATAAACAGCATGGGCAGGATGCAGAAGCCAGTTCAGGAAAGGGTGTCATCTCCCTTCTCCTGAGTTTTTTCTTGCCATTTCCAACTCCTTGGACCCCAGCAGCCTCATCTTTCTATTTTTTTTTTTCTTTTTTGGGGGGAGAAGTTTTTGCTATAGGGTGTGTGCACTCTCCAGAAAGAGAGAGACAGAGAAATAGAAAGTGAGAAATCCCCCCCCCGGGGGGGGATGGCCACACCACAGTCCCTTCTCCTCCATTCTCCTCTTCGGATCTTGGGCACGCATGCACACGCGCCCGGTGTGAGTTTAAGCCACCGGGTCCGGGACTTAAACCATGATCTGCTACATGGGAGTTCGGCGACATAGTCTGTATGCTAACCGCTGGTCCCAGCCTCTTCTTTCTTTAGACACACAGATCCTAAGTCACAGCTCTGGGACAGGAGGTCACCTGGGCAATCTTTAGAAATGCAAAACCTCCCAGCCCAGACCCACTGAAGCTGCACCCGCTGGGTACTACCCCCAGGTGCTGAGAAGCTGAGAAGTGCTGAGGGAGCTCCAGGTCTCTGTGGACAAGTTCTCCTGACACTGGTTTGAAATCACGCCCCCCCAGGGATGACCACCCACAATTCCTTCTCCTCCATTCTCTCCCGATCTTGGGCACAAACACAGACGCACCCGCTCTGAGTATAAGCCACCGGGTCTGGGACTGGAACCGTGGTGGACTACATGAGAGTTCAGTGAAATAGCCATTACGCCAACTACTGTTCCCCGTGGCTTGAGTTTTATGCCGCTGTCGACTATGTGGGAATCCAGCGACATAACCATTGCCAACTGCTGGTCCCGAAAGTATTTTTAAGATGTCACTTCTCCCGCTGCTGCTCTCTGGTACCTGAAATCACAGCAAGATCGACGGTGGGGCTAGAAGGTCAAACTCCAGGATTAAAGGGGATCAGCCTGAACTGAAGTGGACGCAGTTTGGAGACCAGGTGAGTCACCACCTGCGGCGCCTGATGCAACTGAGCACGTCCGTGGGCCCAGCATCCAGGGCTCCTTACCAAGTTAGAAGAGGCGGCGGAGTTCGGCCTTTTTTATCTCCTTAACTGTGAACGCCACCAAGCTTGCCAAGCTCCCCTCCAGCCAGCTCTCAGCACAGCCCTGGGCCCGCTGGCTCCTGTTCCCTGGACAAGGGCGCAATTGACCGGCGCGAGCCGCCTGTGGCCCACCCAGAACAGCCAATTTTTTTTTCTTAAGCCATCAAATTCAATATTTACAAGAACAATCCCATGCTTGGTTCTGAAAACTATTGGCCACACAAGTACAGTTTACTTCTCGCTTCAGCTCATCACAAGAAAAACGTGCGCTGGTGTCTTACTCTTAAAAAAGACCTGAATAATAAATCTCGTAAAAATAAAAATAAATAAATTAAAAAGCAAAGCCGCTTATTGCATGTGGCTTCTTTCCCTCTTGCCTCTACACAGAATAAAAGCCCATTTTGCCGTGGATCGGGGCCTCGCCATCCTGGCAGCCCCGCCGCGGCCGCCCTGTAACTTTAAACCTGGCCTGAGATCATCGTTTTCGCGCTGGCCAAACAGAGCCCGAGGGCGGTCCTAGTGCGCCCGGGACTGAGACCACCTTACGGCCACCCCGCTCCCCGCCCCCGTCCGCGCGGATAAATGCTGACTCCGCGGCGCAAGTTCCCAGCTGCGAAGTTTGCTCTCCTGCTTGCTCCGTGCGCAGGAAACTAGGGCACCCTCCGGCGCCCAGGCTCGGGCTCCCCGCGTTCCAACCAACACCGTCTCACTTCCCCAGGCTGGGCTCGTGTGCTGGAATCGTCCCCCAGCACGAAAACTAGCTGCTCAGCCCCGCAGAGAACAAGTCAGCTAGGAAGATGTGGAAGGTGCCAGTTCTGCTGTTCGTTTTGGGAAGCGCATCGCTCTGGGTCCTGGCAGAAGGAGGTAAGAAGGCGCGGCGCCAGAGGCTTCCTGCGGTTCCTGGTGGGGACCAGCCAGCGAGCGGAGACTTGCTGGAATGTCTGGGCCTGGTATTTGGGGTTGCCCGGGAGAGCGCGAGGGAGCTGGGAGTGAGTGTGTGTGCGCGCCGGGCGGCTCAGCACCCGAGAGGAGGAGAGGCTTAGCCGGTGCTCCCGTGCCAGGGAGAGTCCCAGAATCCACAGGCAGCAAGGGTGGAGAAAGCAGGGGGCCTTCCCCGGTCAGCTCATAAAAGGGTCGAAAAATAACAGCAAGGAGCTTTCCTCACAGACACGAGCAACTGGGATTTCCCATAGGGTGTTGGAGAATGCCCACGGTCTTGGAAGGAGTTGGCCCCATGGGATCTGGGGACATTTGGGAGGTCTGGGGCCCGGGCTGCAGTGGCCTTGAGGCTGCCAGGACTTAGAACTTGTGTTCCAGCAAGTGGGATGCACCTGGGACTGGCTGGAGGAGGCCTCACTTGTCCTCTTTAAGGGAGAAGGTAGTGTGTGGAAGGGACCCACGTGGAAGGCTTCTGTGTGGGGTGAGCCAAGGATGGCTGTGGACATCCAGGTTGAAGTGGGTTTGTGGCCATGTATTGAATTCTGCCAACAAGGTCAGTGACTGCATTAGTGTGGGTGACTCCTTGGACTTTAAACCTGTCCAATTCTATAATGGGGGATCCTGCTGCACCATGACT